GTTGTTATTTTTTAAGTGCAATCAAAGACATTTTGAATAAGTATAATAAAAAAAATGTTGCAACATAACTGTGGAGTTTTCTCTTCTTGCTGCTGTTTGTTTCACAGACACAATGCTGACACAGTAGGTCATTTAACATGTTCACTATTTAGAACAGGTATACTGGGATTCTGGTGTTTATCCCAGAATCTAGACAAGCCCAGTTTAATTAATTACAAATTTTAGTTAATAGTCTCAAAGAGAGAGATTAATAACCAACAATCATCTAACAAAAAGCTACATGGAACATCCATTTAAAATGATATATGTACTTAAGCTTCAACTTTGTGCTTTGGAGAATAATAAATTCTATTTTCTGGATGTTTCCCTGTCACGTTTATCTTTTATCAGTTCGTTGGCTAACACACATTAACGTCTTCTCAATGGTGGGCAAAATCAAACGGTAACGTTTCAACGTCCCCTACTGGAATACACGCGAGCTACTTAAGTTAGTGGCGTACCGTAACGCATATTTTCACAAATGAACAACCTTTGGGTTAAAAGTGACAGCTTTCATCGGTGAGTGACACTTACGATACCGAAAACATTTTTTATATTTCATGTTTTCATATTTTATATGCTTCCCGGACACATTTGTTCACTGAGAAGAGCTCAGCGTCAACAACCGAGCTAATGCTACTTAGCCACCTGCCAATTGTTACGTTTCATAAATTCAGTTACAATAAACGAGGAGACAAGAAATACACCTATCACAACCTAAAATATAGTTTTTATACAAGTACAATTTATATGGGGCCTTTTAAAAATATATTGATTATATTTTGTTATTATAACATTTCGTGAGCAAACAAAAACTCTGACTTTTTTATTGTACTAGTTTATGGTTAATCATTTATTTATTGATTAAATCAAAATGTTTTAAAATAGCAGTACACTCAAGGCACTAACGCCTTAGCTGAATAAAGCACAAAAACCACAGCCATAGTTTATCAAATCTATAAGTAAAACTTTAAAAAGAGTGTTTTTATGTTTCAGTTCTTTAGTGGATCGATGAGAGTTGTCAACCAGTGATCAATGGTCTGTCACTGAGATAACTGAGGTTTAACTGAGAAAACAAAAAAAGGTTCAGGGTTGAATAATGCGTTTGTGAAGTTTAGAAATCTTACAATAAAAAACTGCCAGAGATGTAACTAAAAGGCAGGTGATTTTTAGGGAAGAAGTGAACAGATAATTAAAAGTGTAAGTGTGAGAACATCTGTGAGGTATGTTGTCAGAGAAATAGGAGGTCATGTGTGTTTTCAATGCCTGAGGAAAAAAAACAAAAAGGTAAAGGCTGCCAGGTCCAGTCCTGGTGCAGGTCTGGCCCTGGTCCTCAAAAAACCAGGAGGTTGAAGGTAAATGCTGAGGTAAAGGCTGCCAGGTCTAGTCCTGGTGCAGGTCTGGCCCTGGTCCAGGTCCAGGTCAGTGTGGAGTGACATGGAGCTCAGCTGGAACAGGAAGGGTCTTCTAGACGTACATCGTCAACTGGAGCCACTGAACACAATATATAGAAAGACAGGTTAATCAGTCTGTGCAGTATGACAGTATGACAGTATGCACTGTTCAGGCAGCAGAATCCTGCTGCCTGAACAGTGAGAAAACCCCTTTTGTCAACTTTTGTCAACTTTTGTCATTTCCTTTCTTAAAGAGATACTTCTGTATATTTAAACTTCTGTCTATCATAGTCTAAATCTAAGTTCATATCTGTAAATTTGATTGGATCAACAAAAATAAGCTGTTTCGGCTGTGGTGTCAGTACTCACCTCCAGCACACTGAGTCTGATGGTACCATCACCATCCTGGTCAAATGCCTGAAATGCTCCTGAAAGAAAGAAAAACCAAAATCATGTCCACTAACCAGTGAGATTTTCCAGGAGTGTTCTCCTGAGTATATCTCCAGGTCCGACTTACTAAACATGGCCTCCAGTCTGACCAAGCAGCTGATGAAGCTGTCGAAGTCGATGTTCATGTTCTCGTGAGCGTAGCGCATGGTGATGACGTCATACAGCTGGTTGTTGAGACGGAAGCCTGAGCGGGACACAAGACACATGACTGTGACAAGAACATTCAGAGGGTCAGTTTCAACTAAAACAACCTTTGAACCATCACCACAGAACCCCTGAAACCAACGACTCTGTCCTAGTCCTGAGGTGTGTCGTTTTTAAATAAAACTACACTGTGTAAATAGCGTCACTTTAAACTAAGTCAAATAAAACTATATTTTTCAATTACCTGCGTCGTTAACAGCATTCCTCATCTCGTAGCTGCTGATGCTTCCAGACTGTTCAGAACTGTAGTGCATAAAGATTCCCTGAAAAGAGAGAAGTCTTTAAACTCTCAGCTCCTGCGTCATTGTTTCTGTAGGGTTAATTATAACATATAAAAGGACAAACAGACAGAAAATAAGCACTCTGTTGTTAGGAATAAGAGGGGGAGTAACCTGCATGCCCACCTGCCATTGTTTGATTTTATTCCACAGCTGTCTGAACTCCTGCAGATTGAGTCGTCCTGTCCCGTCCATCTAAACACAAGACGTTAAGAATCCCAAAACCAAGTAGGCTAAACAAAACAAAACAAAACAACTTCTTATTTCAGGGTTTTTCCATGACCCTCAAACTAAAAATTCCATCAGTGGGAATGTAGAGGGCAGTGAAGAGAACGTCACTGAAACACAGTGTCTCTGTGGGTTCTACAGGATTTACACGATACAGAGGATACATCCATGAGAGCGATCATACTCCTGCAGCTCTCCAGACTGAAGCCCTCGGTGTTCAGATCTTTATCTGGGCACAAAGAGAGAGAGAGAGAATTCTAACCGACAGTTCTAACACGTCTTGTCATGTTACACTGTGGTAAACTCACGTTTGGTCACCACATTGTTGAGGACATCTTTGAGCTCGTTGGCTGTGATTTCCATGTCCTGAGAGAGTAAAAAAAGTCAAAGTCTTTTTAAAAAGTAACAACTATCAAAAGAAAACACAGGCATTGAAAATAACTCGTCATGTTGTTGAAAACCCAAACTCTGTGGTAAACAGACCACCTCTGTCTCTTTCCCAGTGAACTCACATCTCCAGCTATTTCCTGAAAAATGGTCCTGAACTGTTGATCCTCCTCGCTCTCTTCCCCCGCTGATGCCGGAGCAGGCTGAGGCATCATGGGAACACAGAAATTTAAAATCAGACAAGGTGTGAGAGGAGAAAATAAAGGACACACGATAAAAACATTGCAATAAATTATTTTTGTGATGCCTTGCAGCAGAACAATACATCACAGAAACTTAGTGACACCTTCCAGCAGAACAATACATCACAGAAACTTACCACAGGGTGATCAGCTTCAATCCTGTTCTCTATCTCCCTGTATGAAGACAAACATACAGCGTTTACCATGGAACCAACAACAACAACAACGTCTTCGAGGTACATGGATTATACAAATCACTCTTATCGTTTTTCTCGGTCCTCAGTTACTCACTCTGAGGTGTTCTTCTTTTCAGAGAAGACTCTCAGGATGAACTCCCCCTCCTGATGTGGCTCGTAGGTAGAGGGAACGATCACATACTCTCCTGGACTCAGACGGAAACGCTGGGTCACTTCCCTCAGGTTGATGTAGGACTTGGAGCGAGCTTTAGACGAGTTGGAGATGAAGAAGTCCTTGGGCAGGTGCTGCTTGTTTCCATGCATCTGGAAACAACAAATGAGGGGAAAAAAAATACAAAACCAAAAACAGAAGATTTCACACATGGTCACTAGGTCAGGATTGAACTGGAAATATGGGAAATTACAGTTGCATCCTTGCTCACCTCCTTTGGCACCTGTAAAAAACCAAAGGAAAGAAGATTATAGGAAGAAATGTGAAAAGTCTGGAGCTTTCCTTTCTAATCTGAGAGTATTTTTTAAAAAGAACCAAAGCCATCACCTCGTAGATGGCAAATCCGATGGTGAAGAGATTCGCTCCCAGTTTGCGGTCCTTCCTCCTGTTCTTTTGCATCAGAGCCACCACAAAGGTGCAGCCCACCTCGTTGTCCTCTGGCTCGTCATCCTCCTCCAGCAGACGGAGACGGTACTGAGGGTTGGTCCAGAAAGTGTCTGCAGAGCAGAAGGAGGGACAGTATGAACATGCTAACGATCCTAATTTTATCACAGTGACCTCAGATTTGGTGAATAAATTCTAAGACTTTCTTGTTTTTCCAGTGGTCTACCTGGATAGTTCCTGCAGCCTCCAGCTGAACATCCTCTCACCCAGCGTCCCTCGTTGACAGAAACTGTCCACTTGTGGAGCTTGTCGTCCTCCAGGGCATCAGGAGTTAGGTTGCAGATTTCTATCTTTGTGTAATTCTTCTTAAAATCCTCAAATGACATCCTGGATGGAAAAAGACCAATTCTAAGTGAAAAGATCAAGATATTAAAAGTAAAATCAGTGTAACTACGGACCAGAACTCTCCGTCCTCAGCGCTCTGATGCTGCAGCTTCTCCTTTTCAGCCTTGGACAGACTGTCCCACTCTTTAGAGCTGATAGAAAACAGAAAAACAAACATTTCTTGACCTAACGTGAAATACACAGGCAAAAATGAATTAAACTGTGTCTGAAATTAGAGGACACGAGGATATGAACAGCTAAATCCTGATTACTTGTCACTCCAGGGACCGTTCCATTCCACTTGACCCCACGGGTTCCTGACCCGCACCAGACGGACTTTGGATTCTTTCTGCTGGGATGGTTTACACTGGGATAAAAAACAGGTTTCGGATTAGTTACTGTGACCAGATGCACATTTGAACAGGAAGAGATGAGTTAGTGATTCATGTATGAAAACAGCCTGTGATCAAAGTTGAGGCTAATGTTAGAGGTCAGATGTCCTACAGACTTGGTCCTTCGGTTTTACCTCTTCAACAGCCGTCACAGAGTAGGCGTGACCCTTCACCAGTCCAGTCACTGTACGCGTCTCAAAACGTGCAGGAACCAGAGACTGTATGTGACCAGAACAAAACATGAAAACAAAAATCATAACATACCAAAACATGACACGTGATGGGGAGGTGCTGAGGTGTTATAGAGGTGTTATAGACGTACATAGTTATTAGTATGTGATTTAATGTAATTTATATATAAGTTAATATTGATAATGTATTTATGTATGTATTTTATTTATTGTCATTTGTTATGATTAGGGTTATGGATAATGCATACGTATATATGAGCATGTGTAGAGATAAATATATTTGCATGCATATATATGTATACATATATTTACATATATCATTTTCTTTTATAATTCTATGATAACCATATCTAAATAAATAAAAATAAATATTTAAAATAAATAAAACTTTTTCCTATTGATTATATACATACTAAATACATTTAAAATTAAAACAAACGTTGAAATAAACCTTCTATTTGTATTCTAATAGTTCATTTAAAGAAGTTTTTTTTTTTTATTTATTCAAAGTCACCCCCTGGTGGCTAACATTTACACTAGTTCTTCCTTGTCTTTACAGTGTTTTTTTTCCACCACTGTTAAATACAGTGCCCCCGGCTCAGATGGTGCAGCTGCTTATTTAAGGATCCTGACTCACATCAATGGAGCAGCCCATGAGTGAGCCTCTCTGCACAGCCTTCTTCATGATCTTGTAGAGCTCTTTGGGAGCTTCCTTCATCTCATAGAACTCAGTGACTCCACCAGTGAAGTCTTCCATGGCCTCGGTGGTGTTTCCACCCTTCAGAGACTCGTAGGAGCCGTGCAGCCTGGGTAAAGAACAGAAGTTGGTGACACACAGATGGAACGCTTACATTTGAATTCAATTTTTTTTTTTTTCAGCTCACTCACTTGGCGTAGGCCTTCTCCAGCAGGGCGCTCCAGAACTCATTTCTCTCAGCAGACTTGGTGAAGACCAGCTGGTTGTTGAAAGTGGGGATGCGGTCATCAATGACGACGTCCACCCAGTCTCCATAACGCCAGAACTGAAGGGCAACAGGAGAAATGACTGAGAGTTCAGGTTAAAAAAAAAAGGTTTTTAGAGACTGTATTTGCAGAAACATTTACAGTAGTCAGAAGTCTCATAGAGGAATGTTCTTTTTGTTTTAAATTTCCAGACCTGAAAGTGGAAGATCCCGGCGTATGTCTCTGAGAAGCTTTGCTCCACAGGAACAACACGGTAAAGCAGCTTCTCATT